CCAAAGTGGCAAAATGAATAGATCTGGGATTGATGATTGATTGATTTGTTGTGAGCGGATTGGCATCCAGATAACGAGGTTTCCGCATTGACCCAGTCCTGGTTGACCCTCTCATCACCACGTCACCTCGCAGAGTGTGTTTGCCGCATCCGAGCGACGCCTCGTGTACTGTAAAGCGTTTGATCCGGAGCGCTCCTGTGTTTTAATCACCTCCTTCAAAGTGCCCTCTCCACCCTTTGAAGGAAACCAATCATCCGTCATTGTGTCGTGTATGTTTATGAATGTGTGTTCGCCGGCAGGTCCGAGACCACAGTTAATCTTTCAGGCAGCTAAAGGATCAGGAGGCTTTATTGAGGTCACCTCTGAGCATAATGTAAGGAGCCCTCCTTGCCAAAAAAAAAAAAAAAAAGCGCTCGTGGCCGTTGCTCACACGTTTTCTTTTTGCACGTCTTTGTGGGTTTTCTGATGTTAAACTGGCATAAAAGAAAAAAAAGAGAGAGAGAGCAACATTAGCATCCTGTGGTTTAGCATATTTATTGATTCGTCTCTCGCTTATTTGTGACAGACGGCTTTATCCTCATGTGATTTGCAGAAATTTCAATCTGTTTTTTTCCCCCCTCTCTCTCCCACCACCCCGCCTCCAACCAAACCAAAGAATTCACCCAAGAATCCAACGAGATCAAAGCGAACGGGCCAATCCAGCCACCCAGTCGTCTTCCTCACATTTTTTCATCACTTTCCATTGAAGTTTGTCACATTTGATATGCTGCGTGCGAGCATCTGTGATATTTTTTATTATTTTTTTTTCTTTTCTGTGTGCGGAAGCAGCAGCGCAGCAATGTTTGCGAAAAAAAGAAAGAAAAAAAAAAAAGCTGACGAAACCGCGCGGAAATCTTTGCATTACTGACAAGTATCGAATGTCTTAATTAGTCTCCCACTTGATCACAGCAGCAATTGCTGACAGTCTCGTCCACGTCGGGCTTCGTTCACCTTAGCCGGCGACGTAGCGGCACAAGCCAAGGCCCGGTGACGAGTATTTAAAGCAAATGATTAGCATGCAGAGGAGGTTGGGGCGGTGGAGGGGTCCATGTTTGCATGAAGCAAAGGCACCGTCACAGCGGATTGTTCAGTCTGGCTTTGACATGCAAATCTGTGTCCTTCAACGTAGTGACAGGTGGTGGGATTTACCTCTTATTTTAGAAATATATTTATATATAACCGCACTTACTGTGAAATGCATGGAACAGTTCTGCAATGACTCTGCCTTCATGGAGGTGAAACTGTTTGTATTAGAGGTGTTTACTCCACTTTGTTGTCTGCAGTTTGTTGCATCCTGCTGTTGAACTACGCTGCCTTACATGTACAGGAGTTTCTATTATCTCTACCAGTGCTTTTATATCAATGCAGGGAAGCTAAACGCCTTGTTTTTCACTCGTTACGATGCAAATGTTCAACACAGGGCTGCACAGGATATCGTTTTAGCCTGACGTTTCAGGGCAAATTGACTCACAACTTTTTGCCTTTTTGTGCTTTTTTAAAAAATTATTATTACAAAAAGAAAGTCAGACAGGTCTCGTTTTCCACGACTAACCCACGAGGGAAGTCTGTCTGATTGAACGTGATGTTCTCAGATAGAGTTTGTTGACATGCAGACGTCACATCTGTGCAGCAAAGAACAGGAGAGAGACGCTGACGCAACATTGGTCTTATGGAAATATTTCGGCTACAGAAAAGATGACGTTCAACAAAAACAGTTATTCTGCAATTTGCTGCTTGTTTGTTTGACTATTTAAACAACATCCCAAAACTCTGCATGAAACTAAAGCTGAATGCTGCACAAAGCAAAAAAAACAACTATTGTTGATGCATTTGTCACAACACATGGGAAAAGTCCTGCGTTTTTCGGCATTTTTTTGCAATAATTTTGCATTTTTTATGCAGATGCACTCCCCTACAAAATCACTCCAAGGTATTCAAGTCATCTGGGGAAAATTCCTGCATTTTTTTTCAGAACTTTATTGTCCAATATCTTGCAGCCGTACTTCAGCTGCTGCCTCCCAAATCGGCGTGTACAGTTTCAGTATAAAGAGAAATGCTGAAAAGGGAGGTTTGGTTGGAAAAGAGAAACGCAGCATCAGGTGTATGTAAATATTCTGGCTGCAGAAAAGGATGACGTCGACAAAAAAACAAGTATTCTGTCGGCAAAGTCTCCCAATTGTTGCACGAGAGGAACTTATTTGTTTGAACGTTTAAATCGACACCACGGGGCTGTTGTTGATGAAACCAGATCTGAAGGCCGTACAGTGCAAATACACTATTTTGGATGCGTTTGCCAAAGTTGCACCATATAAGAAAGCTTTTTTTTGCATTTTTGAAGCAGGTGCACTCCCCTGCACAATCACTCGAGGACGATTCTTTCGAGCCGTCTGGTGAAAATTCCTGTATTTGTTTAAATCTGAACATACATATTGCAGAAAACCTAAACATTGCAGCGTCAGTTTTTCCAATATCCTGCAGCCCTGCTTCGGCTGCAGCCTCCCCAAACCACAATACAGCTACAATATCACCTCTTCTGAAAAGGATTCAGCAAAAAAAGCCACATAACACCTCTGGGAAGAGCAGATTATTGCAACTGTTGGATTCATTTTTTAAAAGGAATAAAGTGACATTAACCTGCAGAAAAAGGTTCTGTGCATAAAAATAGTCGTATAGTGGAAGAAGAGCTGCGATTTTGAATTATTCAGGTTAATGCAAAACCAACTTGGGCGCCCCATGATGCGCTATAATACTTATATAATCCAGCCTCCCCTGTAATGAATTATATAAGACAATACTCTGCAGGTTTTAATTACAGCTCGATAGGAATTGTTCATTTAGACAATGGGATTAAGTCGAAATAATAACCCAATATTATCATATCACCCGCTTAAAAAGTGGATCATCTGAATCGCTGCCAAGCCGTAACAAGTGTTTTTCCTCAAGAGACCGCGGCTAATCCGCTTCTTGTGTTTTTTATTCTGACGTGCGGGATCACATGTGAGACGCCTGAGTCATCACAAATATGATTACGAATCTGTCTTCTTTTTTTTTTTTCCACAGATTTTTTGTAAAACATTATTATTATTTTTTAAACCTCACAGACGCATAATTGACAAAGCCTTTTAGGATGCCACAAAGTCAGGGAGTGCTGCTGCCGGCGTGAATCATAGCTGGAGCGAAATAAATCATCATGGGTAATTTTGCAGAAGCTTTCCACTTTTGACAATAGTGGCATCATTTAACCCCCCCACCCCTACCCCAAAACAACAAAAAACTGCCCGTTCACGCTGCGCCCCGCTTGTTGAACCGCTCTCAACGCTGAAACAATCCATCCTCGCTCGGAAATTAGACGTTTGTCACCAAAAACGTGGCGGCTAGTTAGCATGTAGCTCGCTGACATTGACCGGAGGACGACGAGATGCCCTCAACCATCTCCTCCTCTCTCTCTCTCTCTCTCTCTCTCTCCTTCATCCTCCTCCTCTTTTTTTTATCTTTTAATCTGTCTTTTGTTCTGTTTGCATCCCTCCGTCTTCTCCCCTCTTCTCCTCATCCCTGACGTCAATGAGAAATTGGATGTTTTTTTGATTATTACACGGCTGTCAGGCTTTACTGCTATTAATTGAATTGAATCCATCTCCTGCACTTCTCTTCTGTCCCCTCCTTCCTTCTTCATCTCATTTTTTGCTTCTTCAGGTTTTGTTTTGCCCCTTCTCCTGCCTCTTTCCTTTATTTTTCTCGATGTTTCCCTCCTTTTTTTTTTTTCTTCCTTCCCACCTGTCTCGCTCTCGTCCACGTGCCGGCTTCTTTTTTTTTTCCCCCCTCCTCCCTGTCACTTTTCATCCTCTCCTTCCCCTCTTTCCTCTCCATCTCCATCTCCATCCTCTCTCTCCCCCCCCTTTTTTTTTTCCTTTCTCTTATTTTCTCTCTCTCTCTCCCGTCTGCCTCCCCCCCACCCCCTCCTCATCTCCTCCGCCTCCCCTCTTATTCTTCCCTCCTGGCTCTCTCGCTCCTTGAGCACTGTGATACTGTTGTCATGGTGACGCCCATCATTTTCTGGCATGAATGTAGGATACTTTATTGATGAGACGGCATTGGCAGAGAGGAAGAGAAAGAGGAAAAAAAAGGGAGAGTGACGAAGAGGGGGGAGAGAGAGAAAGGCGGACAGAAAGAGGAAAAAGATGTGGAAACGATACAAAACATTCCTGTAATTTCCCTCTGAGTTGAAGAGGATGTTGCAAGGGCATCTTCTGGAGGGGGTTTGGGATAGTCGCTGATGGAGAATATCCCCTCCACCACCACCACCCAACGAAACACTATTATTCATCACTCTCAGCGTGAGAAGTCAGAAGGGAGAATCCTCTTATTAGGAAGCAGCGAGCCGGCGTCAGCGCTGCCCCCAGTCGCCCGTGTTTAATGATTTGTACTCTGTAAACACGGCGGCATAATGAAATGTGTTTTTTTTTTCCCTTATAATCTGTGAACACGAGCGTCGGTGTTTTCTAAGGTTAGACGGACATCCTTATTAGCCCTCGGCGGCGCGGTGTTTGCACACAGAAGCGGCTTGGCATCGCCGTCCAAAGCAGAAGGCGATGCTCGTTAGACACTTCTGATGTAGACATCACATCGAGAGGCTTGGCACAGCTGATAAGGCTCCGAGATTGAACATTTCAGGCGTTCGACTGACACCATTTGGCAAGATAAAGAAACCGGAGCCAGATTTTTTTTTTTATAATATATTTTTAAATACATTAATACAGCAGATTTAAACATCTCTGATTAATGTGCAAATGAGCCCCCGTAGCTGCACATTTGTTAGGATTTAGATTATATTTAGAATCAGCCACGGTGAACAGATGACGCTGCTGATGCCCGCACACAGAAAAGAAGGAATTAGGAGCGTGTGTGTGTGTGAGGATGAAGCTCAGCTGACTTGTGTTTGACCTCTGACCTTTGCGCCACAGTTCACCTGCTGTCGGAGACCATCCAGGGGGTGACGGCGACGGCCACCGGGGTCCAGTACCAGCAGTCCTGGCTCTGCATCCTGTAAGCACTTAACATTTGTCCACGTGTTTTTATGTGCAAGGTTTGGAGTGGAAATTATCAGATATTTAACTGGTTGGTCAACAAAAAAAAAACATTCAAGCATTCTTTATTCTAAGTGTGTATTCGCTGTAGCATCTCAAATTTGTGATTTTTAGTTTTTAGTCTGATTTACGTGACTGTAAATTGAAGGTTTTTTTGCATCCTGTCTTCCAGAAATCACAACCAAACTGCATTCTCAGTGAAGTTTTGTCTTGTTTGTGACGTATCACAAGTACTCTCTGTCAAACCGATCCTTTGGTCACCCTGCACTGTCATGAATTACTGTAAAAATAAAGCCAAATTCTTACTGTAAAATCTAATGAGTCAAACACAAGAACAACCATAAACAGCAGGCTACTGTTAGACCTGACGGTGCGAATTCAACAGGAAATGTTTCTGAGACAGTGCCACGAAGTTTAGAGTCTATTTAGGCAGCTGAGAATATTAAAATGTTAAAACTCTTTCCTAACACGCTGCAGTTTTTAAAAAAAAACTTTTTGGGAGAAAATGTGTTTCTTTCAGAATCACAAATGAGAATGCAGTTCAGTCGTATAGGAGCGTCATTTCTGTGAGGCAGGCTTGTTGTCAGGCAAAACAAGCGATCTGAAGACTTTACTTTGGGCTTTTAGAAACTTTAATGGGATTTTTTTTTCTCCTCTAATATTTTTAGAAGTGGATCTTGAAAAGCTCACTTTTTTAAAGGCAAAAGGGAATAACAATCATTAATGTGTGAGTGGAGAAAGTTTTATTTGAAAGCAGCATCTCTAAACCATGTGCAGCTAAAATAATTCAGCTGAAGTATTTTTCTGATATGAAAAATACAACAAAACAGTAATTTGACTTTTTTGCTCATGTTGAAATGTGTTTATGATGAACAAGTGTCCCAAAACATTTACATTGAAGTGACAAGGCTTATTAGATGGTAGAGTTATAACTAAGAGAATAAAGACAGAAGTCAGGTGATGTCAAAGAGCGAGGAGGAGCTCTGGGTGGATGGATGGATCACCACAACATCTGACATCAAAACAGATGGCTGTTTCTTAACTGTTTTCAACAGTTTTATTCAGGTCATTTAGTACCTGAACTTAAAACTGGCATAGGCAGAAATAAGGAAAATTAAAAAAAAAAAAAATGTAGCTGAAAAAGCACAGACATATGTGCGCATTTTAAACATGCAAAGTTTATAGTCAATTTTAATTACAGTTTCTGTGTTGATTTTTCTGCCCTGGACGTCAACACATGGCCACGACGTCTTAACTCCTACAATGACCTTTGTTTCACTTTATATTAGCTCGACTAATCTCAGTGAAAAGACCTGTTTTTTTTCCCATTAAAGTCTCTCTTCTAAAGAAGGAAAACCAAGCCAAGAGGAGATCTCAGACCACTTAAATTACAGAATCGTCTCAGGCTTTTATGGAATTTTTTTGATGCCAAGAAAATACTGCCTACCCCAGCTTTAACCAAACATTTACAACTGCACTGTATAATGGATGTAAATGTATAATAATTCAGTGACGTTAATAATTTAACCAATTAAACATATATTAACTGACAAGACAAAAAAAAAGGACCCGAATGTCAGAAAATGTCTTACAGGTTAGCTGTAGTACCTGATTGCGCCACCAGGTGGTGCCTCTTGCTGTTTACTACTATTACAACCAGAGGAGGCAACACTGGAAGTCCCATTTCGGCAAACAGAGAGCATTGTGGGAGTTTAGCTAGTAAAGGGGCACCATGAGAAAGTTTTATTTGGTGCTTAATGCCTATAGACCAGAGATTTCATTATGAGAACATCATAGAGGCGTGAATAATCGACTAGTGATGAATAAGGCTGCTGATTATTGGTTAAGAAAACAATTTAACATTTGACCAAGTCACTGTATAAAACAGTTTTATCGTTCTAAAGTGATTTTTATTGATTTTTGAGGGCACAAACAAACAAATATCCAACTGATAAGGACCTCCAATTAGAAAACGCTCCCATGTATTAGCATAGAAGGCTAAAAAAAATTACATATATGTGGTTTAAATGTGGTCAACTTGACTTTAAACAGCACCCATGAAGGAGAAGTTAAACGTTTGAGTCGAAATCCAAACGGCAGAGATAAATGGCTTTCACTGAACAATGATAAAATGTGAATGAGATGCACTATAAATAAACATTATTATTATTATTACTATTATTATTTATGAATACAGTATTTAAATCTTGTGTGAAATATATGTTAATCCAGCTCGTAGAGTTCTTTGTGAGAGTGCCTCTGCAGTATATATATGTGTGTGTTTATATACATGCATTCCTATACCGTGCGTGAGCAGCAACATTTGAATACTGTCCAACTGTTGCTGCAGAGAAAGAGGTTAATCTATGGAAATGAGGGGCGCTGCCAGTGAGGTGAGGCGTTGACATTTATAAAAAAAAAACCTCCTCCTCTCTTTTTTTTTTTTTCTCTTTCCCCTCTCTGCTCCAGCTGCAACGTGAAGCATCTCCAGAGGCGTCACGTGTGCATCTCCCGCCTGGAGAGGCCGCAAAACTGGGGGGAGAACTGCTGCGAGGTCCGCTATGTCATCCTGATACTGGCCCCGCTCAAAATGGTAACCGCCGCCCCCGCAGGGACTCAGTGATACGCGGGATTTATCTGTCCTCGCCGGGTTACTCAGCAGCGCTGATCCACTCGTTTGTTACAGTAGTCGTGCACATTTCACTCGCTGATGTATGCTTTCATCTGGTCTTTATGTCATTTACCGATGGTGGGCTCACTTGTAGCCCGTTAAAACCCCGCTTCACTGCTTTCAGCTGCAGGTAGAACTTTGTTTTAATGAGGCAACTCTTGCAAAATCAGTTCAAGTCCAATTAAGTTCGGTTTTGTTCAACTCAGTTCTGAGTGAAGTTGTAGAATGAATATGAATATGAATGAATATTTGCAAAAACAGGTAACTCCATCGACACAAACCTCCATCGTCTACCTGAGACAATACCAATCAAACTTCACTTATCTCATGTCATTTCTACTGAAGAGGTCAGGTGATGTCAGAGAGCGAGGAGGAGGTCTGGGTGGATGGATAGATCACCAAAACATCTGACTTCATCTGACTTCAAAACGGACGACTGCTAACTGTTCTCATTCATTTCTATTTTTGTCATTTCTACTGAGTCAGATCCACTCAACTTCAGTTTGACGGATATTATCTCAAGCAAACAACAACAAAAATAAGTTTTCTGAAAGTCTAAAAAAGTGGAGTTCTACGTTTTTACAAATGAACTCTTCATATGTGTCACCATGATCAGCTTTTGCAGATTTCTCTCACCAACATGTGCAGATTTGTTTCAGGGTTTATGGTTTTTTAATCACAAAATGTTGCACGAACAACGTCGACGACAGCTCAGGGAATATTTTCTGTAATTCAAAGCAAAAATACACATGAAAAGAAAGCAAAACTGAGCAAAAATAATAAATAGATCAGATATATTATGTTTAGGCTGCAAAAGGGTGGTTTTAAGATATGATTTCATTTTGATTTTCTATTATTTTCTCTGAACTCCAAGTGGTTTCTGGGTGTTTCACATTTTTCCTCACTGTGGGTTCTTTTTTTTTTACTGCAATATAAAGTTCTGAACAATACCACGGCTTTGTTTTTAATAACAGATCAAATCCTAGCAAAGATACAACCAAAAAAGGGAAAAAAGAAAAGTACCTAAATCGAGTATTTTCCTCCTTGGATGCAGCTCTGCAGAAAAACTAGGGTAGATGCAATTTAGCAGTGTGTTCCACTCCTTAAAATTACACAGCTCCTGTCACATTTTTAACTCACTGTGGGCTCATTTTTCTCTGCAGCATAAAGTCCTGCACCTCGATGGAAACAGAATAACCAGGACTAGAAGGAGAGAGAACTCAAAAGTGCTCACTGTGCAGTTTAACACAGTTATAACGCCGTAAATCATTTTTTAAAAAAGGGGAAATAAATGAACGAATGGCTTTCTTTTGTTATTTTGCAAAAATAATTTAAAAGCTGGAATCAGCATGTGCAACGTTTTTCCAAGTCTCCATAGGTGTTCCCGTGAGTGGAAAAAATACTGGTGTCTTTACATATTTTGATATATTTTACTATTTCTATATATATTTTTCTCCTTACTTGTCTCCTATCTACTCTCCTGCTGTGTACACTGCCTGCAGTTCAGCTGAGAAGTCTCTGAATTGTTGTCATGTGGTTTTTTTACACAGCTGAGTCACGCCTGCCTTCCTGGTTGCACCAAGAAATGCAGATTTTTTTGTTTTTTACAAGATGAAGTCAAAGCTAACGGTTTATTTTTGGCAATTATTTAAAACTTAGATGTGTCCAAGTTTCAAGGCGAAATCAGGCGTCACACATGAGTAGTTCGAGGACCATTGGAAAGTTGAAGTCCCACGATTTTTACTTTTTTTTTTGCAGTTTTTGGCTCTGATAAATTGCATTACGGTGGCTAGCATTGTTGCCTCGCAGCTAGAAGGTCGCCGGTTCGCGTCCTGGTGAGGGCACTCGGGATCTTCGCAACCCTAGTGAGGATTAAGCGGTACATGTACAATGGATGGGTTTTTGTAGGGTGAACATGCTTTTCAAATCCATCAGTGTGTTCTGGGGTTCTGTTTGCTCATATTTCAGATTAAAAACTTGAGTTATTTGTACCACTGTTTAATTTGAAGTGTAAGGTGGTGGCAGGATTTAAAGGAAACACTTTTTAAATACTGCATTTTGCATCTATAAGGTCAGTGACTAACATTTCGCTCTTAACGTTTCTATTTCAACTCGCTAAAATCTGAGAGCTTTGAAGCCGCCGACCGTCTGCTGAACTGAAATCAATCCGAGGACCTCTCAGGCGCCTCGCGTGGGCACGAGCGTCCTGTCGGCTGAAGCCTTTCGGGTCGCCGCCGTGCGCCGGATTGCTGTTTTCTTCAGGTCTGAAGAGCCTCCGCTAGCCGACGGAGAGCGCCACGTATCCTGTAATAGCCCTCCCTCCCATCAAAACGTGAACCCTTTCGGCTTCCCATCAAACCACTCAACCTCTCTGTCCTCCGACGCCTCATCCCGAGCTTTCAACTCCGGCTCACGTGTTCAGACTCGCTCTGATTGTCGCCCCGCTCCACATGGAAACCCCTCCGCTCTCTTCCACGCTGAAAAACAGGGATTTCTTCACTTTGGTCGCGGCTTCCCCCCTCCTCAGAGCATCCCGTTGGGTGGAGTAACCACAGATTCGGCGATACCTCAGCTAACTGCGTTATACTTTCTGTTTGTTTGTTTGTTTTCTTGGTTTCTATCTTGTTTTTTTTTCTTCTTCCCCCCATGAATCCCCCCGTTTGTTTGTTTCCTTCGCCAGTCTTACAGGCAGCAATCTAAACCACTAATGGCATTCTCAGAGACATTCATCTGAGCCCCAAGTAAACATAAAGCACCATTACGTCTCAATTATCCCTGATGGCGACTGCTTCTGCAAGAGAAAATCTTTGAAGCGGCATGATGATGATGATAATAGGAATTCTTTTGGTCGGCCGATGTATGCAGCCTGCCATGTGTCGGGGTGGACCGCCTCCATCGCCCTCCGCTTACAGAGCGTTTGTGGCTTCTCTTTCTTCCCCCCCTCCTCCTCCTTTATTCAGAGTGAATCTGCTGAACAGACGTGACCTTTGTTGGGAGATGTCCTGTTTTTCATTCAGTCGGTTAAATACATACCTGACTGCGCGTTCGTGTGCCCTCGTGAAAGAAAACTGGAGCTGCCCTCGGCGTTGGACGTGTTGGAGGATACTGACTTTATACACCCACAGTTTCCCACTCTTATTCAAACTAGTGCACTTAAAAACAGGGCAAAAGAAGCACTTTTAAATTGTGTCTTTTGAATAAAAAATACTCTTTATTGGTTCAAAAGGTGTTTTTTTGAATTTTTCAGGGCAGCTGTCCACTTAAAAAGAAGAATAACGGAACAGTTTGCGTCGGTATTTCTGAGTTTCGACAGCCTCTAATTAAATTGTTGTTGAGGTAATTCACCGTACGTGACAACAAAGGTTCTCAATGTAATATTCAGAAAATGATGTCGGAAGAACATTTTTTATTGTCCTCAAATGTATTCATAACCTTCCATTAAAGAAAAGGCAAAATTCACAATAATCACTCAAATAAGTAGAAACTGAAAAAAGTACTAATAAATAACAATTTGCTGAATTATAATGTAGTGAAATAAGATGTTGCTTTTGAATTGTGGCTGAAAAGAATAATTTTAAAAAATAAAATAATTTTAAAAATGTCCCATTGTTCAACAAAATGTTAGCTTACGGGTCCCATCATGCTTATTTTTTTTATTTATTTATTTTTTAAAATATATATATTTCTGTTGAACCACAATTCAAAAGCAATGTCATGATTTTCACTAAATTTTATTTATTATTGCTTAGTTAGTTTTGATCGCTTATAAACTTCGGTCGCTTAAAAAATTTCGGAAACGAGGTAGTGAAAATCCTGTTTTCTGGTGATTTTTGGGGTCAAACGACATCATTTTACTTCATTTGCATAATTTATTTCATGACTGAGTTGCTTGTTCACATACGGGGATTCCCACTGATAGAAAATCAAAATGAACGTAACAGAAAGTCGCCACATACCGAAGTCGCCACATAACGGGAGTCGTAATGCCAGACCGGTACAGCTGGCTATAGTGTCAAAAGGGTTAAGTCACTTCAGGTCATTTTTACAATCGTAAAATCAGGACCTCACACCATAACATTATCTAAATAAATCTAACTAATCCAACTTTTCCCACTGAACAGGCGTTTTTCCTCTAGTTCCATCCACTTTTCACTTATCTGATGAAAGGTCCTGCTACGTCCTTCCTGCTACGTCCTCCATGGATTGGCACAACAATCATTGGTGGCCACCAGTAGATGAATCCTAATGACTAGCACCACTCTGCTTTTTTTGTTGAGTGAAGTATATTTGGCAAACAAACGACTCCTCACCATCGCCAGGCCAAACTCTATCCATCCAGCCCTTTCATTTATTTCTAATCGACTGCAGACCGAATGCATTATCACCACACTCAGATGCATTGGGTCTCGAACGCTTTGTGCGGCAGCTCCTCGTCTCCGCTGGAATCCATTGTATCTGCTGTGAATCCGACTGCTGCCGCCGCGTCTTTGACTCAAACTACAAACTGTTCAGCCGGGGGGAGCATTTGATCCTTAGCGGTGAAATTTTTTGATGGGTCTGTCTTTTAAGACTCCTTCTCAGACCCGACCGAAGGTACGCTATCCGGCTCCCCGCGCAGAAAGAAAGAGCCTTGAGATTAATCAAGATCTGTCGGCTCTTTGGGCTCTGGTTGAAATTCAGTTACCACTGTGGAAAAGCTTAAAGGCTTTAGTTACTCTGTTTACTGCAGCTGCCGCCGTTCTGAGCCCGACTACGCTGGTATCATCACCACCTGGCTAACAAGGCTCCGCTGGCACCGCGCTGTCTCCGAGCCTGCCAGGGCCACATTAGCGATACTTGGTGGCGGCGGCGGCGGCGGCAGCGCTTTGTGACTTGTGACGGCATTATTTGTAGCAGATGTGGGATTATTGACGCCCTCCCCCCACCCCCACCCCACTACAGTACACCCAACCTGTACCGAGCGTATCCGAGCCACCTTTGAAGTAGAAATAAGTAGCTTAGGTACTCCAGTTCCCAGTACGAAGACCAGAATTATATCCCCGGTATTTGACATAGAGGTTCTGGTGCATTGTGTAAAAGATGTTTTGCAAGTGAGAAACATTGGGCGACGACAAGGGATTCAGTTTTAGCTGCGGCTGCTTTTATGTGGCAGTATGGTGGTAATAATGACGTTTTTTGGACACGAATCTATTCTTGACAAACCTGTTTTGCATCTTGGTTGGTGTTCCAGTGCATGAGCCGTCACCTAAAGCAATAAAAATATAAGAATTCAAAGCATTTCTCAATGTTTCAACCCAAATTAAAGCTGCTGTAATCAATATTTTTATTTAATCAATTGGTTTGAACAAACTTCTGGTTTGTATTTCAGTCTTGTTACGTCACCTAACTGCACTTAAACGACATAAATCTGAACATTTGGAGCATTTCTCAGTGTTTTGAGGCTAAATTAAAGCTGCTGTAGTCAATGTTTTTTAATAACAGATAATTCTGACAAACCTCTTCAGCATCCTGGTATGTGTAGCTGCATATTGTAACATCACGTAACGACATTAATCCTAAATATGTGTATATATTTATGTTTTAAAACTGGAAATTTCAAAGCATTTCTCAGTGTTTTTGCACCAAATTAAAGCTCCCATAAGTATTGGCACGTCTAGCTGTCTATTGTGACGTGACGTAGCTGCATTATAACAGCAAAAATCCAAAAACTCCAAGTATTTATCCATTAAAGCTGCTGTAATCAATGTTCTTTATTGACAATCGATCCAATTACTGCAGGTAATATGAAAGACAGTGGTTGTAGAGACCAACATGTGTTCGCCTTTAGCTCCAAGGAGCATTTTAGCTCCTTTCAGCTCATTGTTTTGCCTCTTTAACCAGGAATATACCCTTTAGATTCACTCATTGGCGTTTTTTCCAGACATGTTTACCATAAAATCTCTTAGAAGTCTGACAAAGTGAGCTGAAACTAGCTTGGAGCAAAACAAAGCTAAAAGAAAAAAAGGGTTCCAGGTGAATGCTAATGTTGCTACCAAATGCTAGCAAGTTCCTCATGTCCGTAAAATTAGAGTAAATGCTTCATTGGACGGTTCTCGAAGACCTCTCATCTTGGAGTCCATCTCCAAACAAAAGAGGACGTTTACGACACCACCTATCAGGTACTTATCTGCAGTCTTCAGGTCCCTTCCCTGAAAAACACCTTCAGACCTCCCTTAGAGTTTCACAACCACCTTGAGGTGTTTGATGTGATCTGGTGGTGCTCATAAATACCTGGAACTCCTCATAAGTCAGTTAGTTTTAAAATGTATGTGGATGTTTTTATGTCCTGATAAAGAGGCGACTCGTCCAGACCGATGGGGGACGGGTTTTTGCAAAATCTAGTACAGAGATTCAATTCAGTTTTGTTTATACAGCGCTAATTTACAACTTAAGTCTTCTTAGGTCCTTTCAACGTCGTAAGATCAAGACCTCATAATGGGAAACCAAACAAATCCAATGATTCCCTTTGAGCAAGCACTTGGCCACACTTAATGGATGAGTCCTAGAGAATATGGTGGTTCTCCTTAAGAGCCATTAGCAGGTCAGATTTTTAATTTATCCAGTCAAATGTTCCACTATCGAAAACTGCAGGTGGAAGTATACAACACCACCTATCAGGTACTTGTAATATTAGGAAGCCTCTTGGATGACGGTTGGAACGTCTTTAAGGACCAAAAATGTGAAGTCCAGTTGACTAACTAAGGGTTAGCTCAACCTGGACGACTGAAAATCGACCCAGACTGTCCATAAAATGTTAGCTCCACATATCAGTGATGTGCTGACGGCTTGTTTGTGGTCCCATGTTTGTGCACATTTAACCAATCTGACTCTTCTACTCTTCCCTTCCCAGAAAAGCACCAAGACGGCGATGGAGCTGGGCCGGACGTTCGCCACCCTCTTCTCCGACATCTCCTTCAGGCAGAAGCTGCTGGAGACAAAGACTCAGGAGGAGTTTAAGGAGGCCCTGGTGTTCCAGAGACACCAGCTGACGGCGACCAACCAGCAGCCCACGGCTCTGGGGAAGGAGGAGACCGACCCCCGCAGCCACAAGCCCCTCAAGGTGGGAGGCAGACCTTCTGTGTACAGCTTTACAGTGTTTCTGGTGATTATTCACGTTTCCACACAATCCGAAGTGGCGTCTGTTCGTATGATCACATTGTGAGTCACTCCCGGTCAGAGCGCCGAGGCGAGGCCTGTGATTGGTCAGCGCTTGAACTGTGTTTTAGGGTTGAGATGGTTTCCAAGTGTGCTGAATCCTCGTCTTTCTGAGTCTGATTTTGCTCATTTTTTGTCTCTCAGTCCTTATGCATTGTGAAAAATAATAATAATTAAAACAAAAAAAA